GGGGGGGTTGGCTTCCTGCACGACAGAAGGCACCTTCACTGAATACATCATGGTTCAGGAATTTACGGGAGAGGAGGAAGTGATGTCTTTAAGATTGTCAAATTTCCACATCTTCGTATCTCTACAGCCAATTTACAGGAAAGTATCCGCGTGAGAATGGTGTTGTCAACGATGAGGCATGTCAACGACACAAACCTTCATCAAACCCTTACAACGCTGCTTTCAAAAGAATACAGTTAGGTGGCTGCTCCATCAGGGAAGCTAAGCCTCGTGAATCTATGCCTTAGTGTTATCTGAACCACGACATGAGGGCAAATGCAGAAACTCAAAAGACAAAAACATCTGCGTAAGATGAATCTCGTCTGTCAAAAAGGCGAATGGGAAACTCGGGAATTCCCTGAAAAGTCGAAAGGGCAGATGGACCCCGTTTCTCTGCCCTACAATGGAAATGGTCTGTAAATGGGGAAGAATGGACTGTTCAATGGGGAGGAAAGAAATGGGGAAAAATTGTAGTCAAGGCGGGAGGAGAAATGTCATTATGCGGCTTCATAAGCCTTCTCCCAAGAGGCCTAAATCTCTCTCAATTGAAAATTCCTCACCAGTTCCCCTCCCCCCTTCCTCCCGTAACATTTTTTTTCTTTCCCTCTTCTATTGAAATCCCAAACAAAAAGTAGCTTCCCTCCTACATAATCCATAAGACATCCTCTACTCTCAGCGCATCCTACTGGCTTTTCCTTTCCCCTCTCTCTCTCTTTGGGTCTCCACTTCCCAACTTCCCAGCAATCCTGAGCTAAGAGAACTTGGACCGTGACTCGTTCAAGTACCTTGTATTTCTGGCGCAATTCTTATTTCTCGTAATCCATGACGCCCATAACTGCGATTCCAGGGGGCAACTTCCATCAAACAAATCAGTCATACGTGACGGGAATGTCAAAAATACTCTTGGATAACCACCATATTCGGCACCAGTAATAACCAAAACACGATGAAAAGTGTTTCAGGCAGCATGTAGTCAACACTAGGAAAGTACCTCAACAAATCAAAATCTCATTGGATGAAATACTACTCAACTTTTGTAGAAGACACTCAAATACAGGGTGGCCCTGAATTAGGGTCACCCAGTTTGCATTTAACACAACCGTAACCAAAAATGGAATTTAAATTCCTTTAAAAATAGGCATAAAAACTTAAATGCTTCACTAACCACTAACTAATTCCATAACTTTTTTTTAAGACTGGACATGCGGCATCACAATCAAGATCACAGTCCCTCAAGTAGGAACGCTCCTCTACGATCCTGTCAGACAGGGTTGGCTAGGCTCATAACTGGCCCCTGATGATTTCACTCATGTGTCCCAGACGTGGCATATAAGTAGTCGTGTGTATTCCCCCTCGCAAAGCGGACACTTCCCATGAAAGCAAATGGCTCGCTGGCCAGTGGGCTTTTCCTCTTCATCAACCCGGCTTACTCGATCCCTCGCCTCCCAGGTTTCACTCGGAAGCTCAAGCCAGTCATCCAACGAACCCGGTACAATTCCATAACCTATACATTCTGATGACTCTTTTTGTTTGACAGTCAATATGGTGGATTTCCATCCATCCCTTTGGCGAACGTTTTAGGTCGTTCACCTGTGCTACACTAAATGTTGTGAAATATAAAACAAATTTGATGAGACTTTCATCCTGAATAATTGGAAGGAAGTATCGAGAAATAGATAATCACACAAAATTGAAAGTGGCAAATCAACAAAACTGATGAGATGGCCTAGAGCAGTGGCTACTGCTTTGAACGAAGTTCTGGACTGTCCTGAACTTTCTTTTGATTGTTGTTTGATGGGAGTTTGAGCCTGTACCAGGATCAAACTCCCATCTCCCTCGCCTCGTGGCTTCCACAAGATTTCGTGCAACAGAGCTGAACAACTTGGATTGTTTGCAGTAATGGGATGCAGAAGTAAATGGAAACCTGCAGTGTTGACTAAATCTAACACAAATCATTAGAATTTCTAAATGTTGAAATTATCCGACAAATGAGACATTAAGTTTTTATGATGTATACTCTTCAAGAAAGTAAATTCCAATGAGTGACCCATGTTTTTGGGCCACTATGTGAAACTATACTTTTAATAAATCTCCCAATCTTCAGACACATCGAAAATTGGGGCTAACTACATTTTGAATCAACTGTACTTCTAGCTGTCTTAACAATTAATAAATATAGTGAATGCATAATTGAACCATTTTCAATTATACATTCACTATCGAGAGTAGCACATATTCAGGCTGTCAAGTACGCGGGTCCGTCAAAAAGTAATGTATGATAATTTTTGTTTTCGCTCAATTTTTTTTTTTATACTAGCACGAAATTTACAGAGATAATTTTCCAATCCTTCGTTAAGACTTACCTATTTTTCCACGTAATCGCTGTCACGTTCAAGGCACTTGGTCCATTTTGTGAGGGCTTGAATTCCGTCATGGTGAAACTCCTTTTCTTTTTAATTTAACCATTTTTTGACGACATGTTAATTACTTTCGTCACCTCCAAATGACGTGCTCCCTGGTGCCCCTTGAGGGCACCAAAAAGGTGATAGTCTGAGGGTGCAAGGTCTGGACTGTAAGGAGGGTGGGCCAGCACAGTCCAACCAAAAAAGGCGATGGCATCAGTTGTTGCTGTGAGGCCTTGCATTATCGTAATGCAGGAGCATTTGAGATTTGTCCAAATTTAGTCATTTTCTCTTGATGCGACTTTTCAGCTTCTGAAGGTCTCAATGTAACACTGCAAATTGATTGAGGTATCTTGTTCCATGAAATCCACAAGGATTTCCCTTGAATCCCTTCCATGTCCCAAAGCACTGCGATCATGATTTTTCCGGCTGATTACACTTTGAACTTCTTTCTTGGCAAGCCCTCGTGATGCCACTCCATGAATGGCCGTTTTGTCTCTGGGTAATAATGGTGAACCCAGTTCTCATCACCAATCACGATGCGACGGAGGAAAGCTTCGCCCTCGGGGCAGATTGCTTTCCTCTCCTGTTTGTGGACATCAGTCAGCATGCGGAGAGCCCATCGACAACACGCCTTGGTGTATCTAAAAGGGTTTCTATGATCTTCATACGGCACCTTCGCTTATACCTACTGTCTCACGAAGCTCGCACGTTGTTATGCGTCTGTCATTACGGATGAGTTCATCCGCTTTCTCTGCGTTCGCTGTCGTGATGGCAGTGACGGGAGAACCAGGGTGTGGTCGTCTTTCATCTGACTGTCTCTAGACTTAAAGCGACTAACCATTGCCTCGCTGTACTCTTTATCAACGCAGGATTCCCCATAGACTGTTTCAATCGGAAAATATCTGCCGGTTCTTTGCTTTTCACGTACTTCCAATTCAGCTGTCATTTTTGACGTTTGCTCTCATGCTACCTGTGATGATAAGACGAAATTTGAGTCACAGTGGCGGGGCAGTTTTGCAACAAATACCACCTATCCTAATTAACACACCCATCCCTACAAGCAAGTAAAGTGATGTTCGTTGCAAAAATCCTTTAATTTCTAACTTTCCAAAGAAAAGCAACAAGAAAAATGGATAAAATACAACAGAATCTGGGAGGGGATGATAAAGATACAAAAGGCTGGATGACTAGAGGAGGCACTGAGCGAGAGACCTTGAGCATAAGAACACCGAGATGAGATTAGGCCCATTCCAGGATCAAAGGTTCCCTCAGAGATCTTTTCATTCCAGTCACCTTCACGACCTACGGTATGGAAGGTATGGAAGCACCATCAATGACACTGACATCCAGCAGGCCTACAAGCAAATTCTCAAATAGATTGATGCTAATAAACACTGCAAAGAGTATTTCTTCTTCCTGGGAACACATAATTGGATTAAAGCCATGTCACAGTGAATAGGAGTAGCAAAGCCTAATGTCAAGTTATCTAAGTAATAGACAAAATGTCTCATGAATTTCTATTTTCCAAAAAAAAAGGCACTGGTGGATTTACCATATAACTATTAGGTTTGTTTTTGAGCTGGCAATGCTCTGAGATCACCAGTAGTTAACCTGATGGGCACAGCTCAACAATTCAACGATGGGACTGAAATGAAATACTCAACCTATTGCATTTAGTCTTTAAAACACTCGTTTCTCTTTCATCTAATGTAGGTTCCTTTACATACTTTTTCCTTAGTATCATATTGGTACTTCATAATTTTGATTGAAGTATAGAACTTCTTGAGTACTCAATACAATGCTACCAGAATTAAGTGATGGAGCAGTGAGTCACTGAATCATGATATGAGACTAGCCCCCCTGTAGTCTGTATTCAATGCTTCTTCATGGTGGTCAGGGCCTGAAGTTAAGGGAAGAAACATGAGTCATACCTGAAGTCGTTCGTTGTAGGAGAAAGCTACATTCTTGCCATCGATGGAGACAAGCTGAGGAGTTCTTTCAATGCCAAAGACAAAGATGCGCCCAAGAGTCATCTCTGTTGTCTCATATCCCCAGTGGTAGATAGAGGTCAATAGCGTTTGATGTGACACATCCACCTTGATCAGATTATACTTTCCTCTCTCCCAAGCTCCTAACATTATAAGAAAGGAAATAATTGAAGAAATGCCGGAGATGGAACACCCATAATCATTAAAAAGGAAGAAAAAGACTAACCGATGGAGACACCATCATCCCAGTAGATCTCACCATGAGCAGTTCCATTCTCATTCAGGGCTGCAAACAGCTCAAAGTCTCCTTTCCGACTGAAAAATAAATGGATATGTAAGTCAGATGTATAGCCATTAAGCTGAATGCAAATAGAGTAATGAGGTCTACCTCTCTCTGGTGGTATTCCCAGGCTCTTGTGATGGAATGACATAACCTCCTCGGAGGAGAAGCGGAGGAGAGCCAGGGGGTGCCTTAAGGGTGTAAATGCTTCCTAAGCTCTTAATACGACTCCCTTCAGGGTACATGTACCACCACCCTCTTGGGATGTAGCGATACACCTCTTTCACATTCTGGAAACACAATATCAACCTTGAATTCAACATATATTTCCAGAATAACTAATCACACAAAGAGAATTGGGTGGGGTCTAATAGTGTCAGAATTCTCATGAAGCCCCTCTGATATGATGTTAAGAGTCCTTCCAATGAAATTTACTTTCAGTTTGGTGACATTTAGGGTAAGTGGAAGGCTAACAATATGCCAGTAACTGTGGAAGTGGAAATACTCTAACATAGTGATTCCAAAACTTTTTTGGTCACGACTCAAAATTCAACATCCAAACCCTGGGTCGCGACCCAAGGTTTGAAACCCCTGCTCTAACAGCTGCTGACTGAGATTGTCTGGAACTACTTACCTCAGTAGGACCAAGTCCAGTGAGCAAGTTCCTGAACAGGAAATTAGTATAGCCATAAAAGGTTTATTCATTTAAGGAATAATCAATTACACTATGATTGGCTAGTTTACATACGGTCAAAATGAATCCAAGAAACCATGCAGTGATGTCAGAGAAAGGTGTTGTTTTTTCAATGCAGTCTTCTATACAGAAAGTCCTTTTTGTTTCCCAAGGTCAAAATCTAAATTGACTCTAAAAGTTCAGTTTTGAGGTTTACACCCTGACACTCTGAAATTCCATTCATTGATGTTGGAATCACTACACATCTACAGCTGAGATGGGCACATATCTTCTAATGAGCACCACCAATCCTGAAAGTCCTCATTGAGATGTATAGATCATCAGCTAGCTAGAGCAAATTCTGAGGCCCTTTGCCCAGCATGACAACCAGACTTTAGGCCCTTGATGTTCAAGAGGTTGGCAACCTCCAACTTACAGAGGGAGTGAAAGCCCCCAAGGGGGAAGAATGAGTTTACATGGCACACATCATCAGAATCCTTGACACATATTCCTCAACCTTAATATCATTCTGGATCAAATGGTGAGCATGGCTACAAACACATTTCAGCAAAATTAATTCCAATATAGGATGGATATGGAAGACCTTCACTCCTCATGTTTGCTGATGTCACACAAAGTAGAGCTACAGGAGAAATATGTTTTAGATGAGCAAGACACTGTTCAGGATACTGAACATATTACTCTCATGGAAATGAACAACTTACTTCTTGCAGCACAGGAAGGATAAGAAGTGCCCTTCCCCAAAGAAATGAATCTTCCAGAGTATATGTTTCTTTGTCCTCTGGAAATCTGCAACAGGCAGAAGACAAGCACTGAGTTCATGATTCCACTTAATATGCCATTACAAAAAAATATTTAGATATATTAGATAGCTGAAAATGCAAGTAACTTAAATGAGAAGTCCAAAGCAGTTGCCTGATTCAACTTGCATTACTGGCAGGTTGTGAAACTGTGAGACACTGAACATTTGGGAAGGTAAGAAAAAAAAAGTTTCCAAATAAGGTTTCTCTGAGACCAGTAGATAAACATTTAAAAATTTTGCAAACAAACTGGCAAGTCTACCTGAATACAATGACATTTGATTTGCAAAATTGCTTGATTGAAACAAAAGTCACACCCTCAACCCTTTGGGGCTTAGTTTGTTGAAAAGTGCAACTTACTCAAAGAAAAGAGGTCGGGCAACTGTTTCTCCTTGCGCATGTGCTTTCCAAAAGAGAGTGTAGAGGTATGGGAGGAGACGATAACGAAGGGAGAGGGACTCCCGAGCAGATCTCTCCACCTCTGGCCCTAAGGAAGCTGGGTCCTGATCCTGTCAAAGGTTAAATGATGTACAACTGCAGTTACCACTTGTGACATGGATCAGAATAAAAATATAAATCTACATAATAGATGGATTCTAATCACCATCAGTAACAATGACAGCTACTGAAATGGTAAGAGAAAAATCAAAACATGCATCACAATTTTGCCCGATACAGCAATACCTAGTAATTAAATGCATTATACAGACCCAGGAACAATATTAGAATTGAATGCAATATCACTGGCATTTGACTTTCTTTCATCTGAATCCATTGAGAGGACTCCATTGAAAGGAAAACTCACAATCCTGCCTAAGTAAGCAATCAGAGTCTGCTTAAGATGAGTGACACAAAACTCCTACCAATTGCATGATAAGATAAAAATAGAAGCTAGAACATCATCTCAGTGACATCTGCACAAATAGCACATATTAATCTTATTGATGATTGAACTGTCAGCACAAACTCACCATGTTTTCTTTTGAATTGTGATTTCGAGCAAACGGATAGAAAGCCCCAAGTTCCATCCATCTTTGACAGAGTGGGATAGTTGTGTTTCCATTGAAGCCACATATATCTGCCCCCACCATTGGAATACCAAACATGTTGAAGTTCAAGATGGCTGCAAGAGGAGGAACAGGGTGAATGATCTCATTAATTTCTGGCAAAGGGTTACTGAAGGGTGAGCAGGCCACATGAAATGCTATTCTGCTCAGAGAATTTATTTTTGCACAAAACAATATGCATAAGTAGAATGAATTTGAAATTTTCAAGTCTTCAGAGAACATACCAGATATAGATTTGGCCATATCATGCCAAGAAGAGAGGATGTCCCCATTCCAATGGCCTCCATAATGCCCTTGACCTGGATATGTTGAGCGGGAGATCACAAAGGGACGCTCCTTTCGAATCTCCTTCAGGGCACTGGACAAGATATGCAAAAAATTGGATCTATAAAGAAAGATCAATGCCTAAAAGAGAAGTTTGGCCTCCTTTCAAAATTGTGGCACTTTGTGATATGCCATTACTCTTCTACTGTAGAGAAGAGCAAAGGTTAGAAAGGCAAAAAAAAGCACAGTGCTTGGCATTTTTATTGTCCAAGCAATCTATGTGTTGCACATTGAAAGGTAAGAAATTCCTGCATTGCAAGATGAGAGTATGGCAAATAGGACTAGCAATACACCTTATGAAAAGATTTACACAGCTGGATAGCACCAGAGCTATATATATTTGCACAATAAATTGTGCATGATTTAATAATTAGGTATCATTACTTACCAGAGTTAGCCTGAGGATGCATGACTGAATTTGTAGATATTTCCATTGGTTGGGTCTATGAGACCCACTACCTGAATAGCATGCATTAGTTAGACCAGTGGTTCTCATACTTCCTTTTTAATTCTCATTGAAACTTCATGCATCCAGAGGTTGTGACCATCAGCTTCAGAGCCACTGAATCAGACTTTTGAAGAGAACATTAAATTTATTAAAGGAATGTCTGTGTAAGAAACCTATAAATCAAGTATTGTAAATTCTACAACTTTTTTTTATTCACTGCTATGGGTCCCAAAGACCCATGTCATGCATCCAAGGGTTAAAAATGAAATTTTCCCTGTGAGCCCAAAAATTCTGAAATAGTCACAGACAGAAAGTATTTTATCTCAGAAAAAAAGATGAACAGAGGGTTGTTTAGACAAATAAGTAAAGTATCATCCATGCCATGAGGAAAAATTTATTACCAGCACTTTAAATTTCTTATATTTTTGGGGGCCCAAACCCTTTCATTTCCTCAAATGAAGCCAAGGAAGCATACCAAATGCCAAAATGAAAACAAAATTGAAGAGCTGAATCTAATACATAAACTACAGGATCAGACTGAAGTATTTCATGGTGCCATTGGTATGTTCATCCAGTTACATTCTAGAGATACTGGTATGAGGGACTTACAAGTTTGTGGCAACAGTTTCTGCAAAGCCATAGATATTGTGAACATCATAGTGGACAGCACTGTAATGTTTGGCAGTCATGCATAAGGTCCGGTAGTAAAGAATACCACCATGGACTCCAGGAAGATATGGCGGATGCTCCAGAGAAGATGGTGGACATCCATTTATGGTACCAGAATAGAAATTTGATGGCTCATTCATGTCCTAGACAGGTTAAAAGAAAACAAATACCTTTAGAAGCACGTAGATGAAAGTATAATACTGAAGTTTCCCTGATATTTTCTAATCTTTTCTAATATTTTATCATGCAAACTATTTATTCTATTTTGGGAAAAAAATAAAGAATAAACATGTGACTCACAATCCAGGCACCATCAAAAGAAACTTGGCTGTGATAGCGGTCCAACTGTCGAGTCCAATATGATACAGCTTTTGGATGTGTGAAGTCTACCCACACAGTATTGACAGGATTCCAGACCTGAAAAATAGCAGCATGAGAATATATCATTCATATTGTATCAATTCAAGTCTTTCTCATTATTCATGACTCTGAGTATATACTAAACTCAGTTCTGCATGCCATTCTACATATAGGATGCCAGGCATATCTGGGTTAGTAAAAAAAATTCATAACTTAGTTTTGTATGCAGAAGATTGTACTTTTCTCTATTGTACTCTAAACATTTCAACCTATTTTTAGAAAACAGGAGCTATGTGGCAACAGCAAGCAGCAATGTGCCAGGACAGGTGCAGGATTTGAGAAAACTCAAAACAATATATCTTAGGCATTGGTCAGTGCAAGGCAATAAGCAAACACAAGATATCTTGGGCTTGGACGTCAACAGGTTAAATCAGGTGCCTACTGAGCAAAGTTGACCTAATCTTGTCACAGCCAGTGGGATAGCCAGAAATTCACCAATCAATGAATGAATCACATTATCAGTAGGTTAATGCCAACATACCCTACCTCAGTCACATCAGGAAAGAATTATTTCATTTGTGTTTAACAATGGGAGAGAATAGTTTTACTCACTTCCCCAAATCACTCTTTCTTCACAAAGAACAGAAATTTATGCACAACCCCCCCTAAGTGAAACCCATTCATAAGAAGGAAAGTTTCAATATGCAATTTGGTGAAAAACCTACCTTGCCATAGAAGAGGTCACCAGTGCTATTTCTTATGAAAATATCCAATTCAAGTCCTTCATCAAATGGGAGATATGTGTGAGGCTTCTCCGCTCCAGAAATCCCAGGATCAATCAGTGGTACATAGTGATACCCTTTGCTGTGAAGTTCTTCCACAAATTCTGGAAGGCCCTCAAATGTGCCCTTGTTATATGTGAAGTCTTTGGAGTCATCCATGTAGTCTAGGTCATTCCACATCACATCCTGTAACATGACAGAAAAAAAACTCATTGTGCAGACTATTGACTTGGGGTTGGTAACTACCTGAAAAATTATTGGCCTTCAACGTTCACCTTCATATAAAAAGGGTGAATCAAAAGTCCTACCCACCATTTGAATGTTAATAACTTTCGAATACCAGACTGAATTGAAATGCAGTTTAGAAACTTTGGAAAACAAGAATATACTCTATCTATAGACACACTTTCTCATTTTGTCGCTCTTTTGTACATCTTAAAGTACAAATAAAAGCTGTGCATGCTGGAGCCTAGAGTGGGATAAGTGGCTGAATGGTTGCCTGTCTGTAAGTACCTCCCTGTCTCTTCATTTCTTTATTGGAATACAATCCTCTCTCTCCCTCTCCCACTGAGGGCAGGAAGATCTTATTTTACTCTGTCTTGTTTTCTGATGTAACCTTCACTCAAGCAGACAAATGGGTAAAATGTTTTTGTTTTCTGATGTAACCTTCACTCAAGCAGACAAATGGGTAAAATGTTTAACTATAAGCATGCCATTAAATTAAAATAAATTAGGCAACCGACCTGCAGAAATCACATATATGGTAGGACAAGGCTGTACTCCATGATACAGAGTATAACAATATCTCCATCAATTCTGGTCAAAGGCTGTCATTTATTTTTTCCAGGAGGATTGCTCTAATGTGCACGTGCAGACAGAAAGGTATACATCCCAATAGAACTGCATGATCATGAATACATGGTACCAGGCTTCCTCAGTTCACATGAGCTCTCAGCCCCCTTCACTTCCAGGGCAATGTGTACTGATGATGAGACAATAATATTTTTTCCCATCTTGTTTACTATACAAGAGAATATCATATTTCCTCCATGCACTGATATTGATCAACTCCACTTGTAATGGGATATCTCCACTAACTGCATTGGATTCCATAAGGAATTCAAACAAGAGATGTTTTGCACAAAAAAGCATCCTACAAGCATATTTAACTTCTTCAGATTATACTTGGCCATATGAAGGTGACATACCAGGGGGATACCAGCATCACGGTTCTGCATCCATGCCTTCTTGGTATCTGATATGGTCTTCCATCCATATCGACAGAGATGGAAGCCCAGAGACCAATAGGGGGGCATGAATGGGCGTCCAATTAGTTCTGTGTACTGCTGAATCACCTCTGTTGGACTTGAGCCAAGGAAAAAATAAAAATCCAAAATCCCTCCAACAGTTCGAAATGTGATACCAGGCGCTGGCTGAAGGATCACATCTGCAAGGGAACCATGGGAAAGTTTAAGAACTTATCCTCAAGTCCAGATACTTTAAATAACAGTAGAAGCAGAGTAATATAATTAATTCACCCATGGCATTGGAATTGAGCAGTAAGACACCATGGCTCTTCCCTGTACTCTCCATCAGCAAATAAAAGGGATGGCTTCCATACAAATTTTCCTGGAAAGGCACAAGGCTGCCATGAAAAAATGTTCACAATTCCTTTTTTTCTTTCTTCAAGCAAGTTGGATGAGCATAAAGGAGGGAAGATAAGAGAAAAAGAAGGAAAAGAAGCTCATCTAGGTGTGACAATCAACAGGATGCAAGTGACTGGCACTGACCTTATCTTGTGGGACTTGGTCATGGTTGAAAAATGTGAATTTCCTCCAGAACATTGAGTGACGGAAGGAATCCTGATGCTCACCAAGGCCATAAATGTCACTTGAAGGGAGGATGGCTGATAATTGAAGAAACTGATTTGCAAAGACCAATGACCCAACATCCATGCTGTCAAACCTGCTCAAATAGAAAGTATGTATGTTATTGTAGTTATTATACCTCCAAGAACATGATACATGAGGGTAGTTTGACAATGAGTGAGAATCTCAATAAGGAAGCACTTTGAGCCATTAACTATCATTTATTTTTTAACGTAATCACCATTAATGCTACTACACTTCAACCGTCTTTCTTTACACTTGTTTACACCAGCAGTCCAGAATTCCAAAGGCATGCTGTCCAACCATCTCATCACAGCCTCCTGCACTTCATCAGTCGAAAATCTTTTTCTTTTGAGATCTGATTTCAAACATCGAAACACGTGGAAGTCGCAAGGTGCCAGGTTCGGGGAATATGGTGGATGAGGGAGTTCTTCGAACTTGCATTCACCCAAAGCTTGCTGCGCAAGGTGGACTTTGTGTGGTGGCGCATTGCCGTGCAACAGCAGAACTCCTTTCTTCAATTTGCCGCGACATTTCTCTTTGATCGCTGTGAGCAATCTGGACAAAATGTTGGCAGAATATTGGCCAGTGATCGTCATCTTCGGTGGCAAGAAGTTGGCAAGCAAAGGTCCCTCCGCATCCCAAGAGGGTCAGCATGACCTTTCCTGCAGATTACACCACGCGCGCCTTGACCGGTGGCTGTTTTCCTTTATCTGGCCACTGCATCAATTGCTGTTTTGTCCCAGGATCGTGGTGATAAATCCAGGTTTCATCCTCAGTCACTAATCTGGCACGAAAGTTCTCCGGATCCGCGTCGAAGCGTCGTAAGAGATCCAAACTCAACTGCTCCCGATTCTGCTTTAGCTCATTTGACAGCAATCGGGGGATCCATCGGGCGCAGACCTTTGACAGGCCCAATTTTTCGTGCACAATTAAATAAACACGTTCAGTGCTGATGCCCAATGTCTCCGCTATCTCGCGTACTTTCGTTCTTCTATCTGCCATCACAATCCGTTGGACGGTGGCCACGTTTTCGTCGGTGGTCACTGTTGTTGGCGTCCCATTGGACGGTTGGTCTTCGAATGACTGCCGACCACAACAAAATTGGCTGATCCAGCGTGCGACCGTACTGTATGGCAAAGCATTGACCTGGTAAACATTGACGAGTTCTTCATGAATCTGCGTCGCATTCTTGTCCTTCCGCATCAAATATCGGATCACTGCATGCTGCTCAACGACAAGATTTTCATCCATTTTCCAAATATGGTTTCAACTTGAATACTATATCTCCTGATGGGAGCAAACTACCGAGCTCAAACTTGGCCCGCAGCCTTCTGATATGTAAGGCTGCTTTGCTATAGGTTAAACCTTGCCGTACATTAGCGCGTAATTGAGATTCTCATTCGTTGTCAAACTACCCTCGTACATACTAGTATTTAAAATATAAACAAACAATATGCACAAAACAGTATTCAGACACAAAAAGGTAATAAATTCAATATGTTGAGGGTTCTCGGGGGAAAATGTGGAGGATTTGGGACAAGATATTAGCGGCATATATCAATAATAGCTCTGTGAAATTTATTCCTTTGAAGTAGGAGTCACCAAAAAGGAATAGTGAAGTGTACTTCAAAGCGAAGATGTACAGAAAATTTCTCTTAAATCAAATGGCACCATGCAAGATCTGGATGAGTGGCCTGTTCTGTCACCCATGCCATGTTTTTCTGAACCACAGAACCCCAGACTTTGAACTGGTACAGTAGAGATGCTTCCTTCCAGTCTATGGATCTCTATAAGTCTATTACTTTTAATCAAGGTCACTTTTGTACCCTGACAGAAGACACAGAAAAGACTCAAGTTTGAAGCTTTTCTTACTCAGATATTTATCATAGGTGGCTAGTAGGGCTTTTGAGAAATTAATTCCCTTACATTCCCATATACAATCAATATCATACATTTTCTAGCCGCACAATGAATTCTTGACTCTCATATGGTTCCCAATTAGGTTAGGGACCAAACCACCATCATACAATATACTTTCAGATTTACCAAAAACCCTTTTATTACAGGAAAAAACTCCATAATATAATATTAAATGAGACTGAATGAACTATGCTGGAATCCTCAAGTAGGATAAACAAAATAATAGCAACAAACAAAAAATTCCTTACAAAATTTCTCCGTTGGATTTGCGAAGTACCTGGAAGCCAGTGCTCTGATTGCTGATCCTTAGAAGGTATAGGGGATTTCGAGCTGCAGTCTTCACATCAGGTACAGGTGGGATTGGGACTTCATAGCGCTTCTTCATGGGGTCAAATATCTTAAGAAGAATGGTTTCAATTACTGAACACACTTGGGTGGTTCAATGGGGATATGGGTTCCATCAATTGCCCCGACGACATTGGGGAATTGAAATTCCTCATAGAAACCAGTTTTCACTCCGCGCACTTCCTTTAATGAAGAGGGAAATTTCACAAAATCTCGCACGCGCCGAGCGAGAATTTCACAAACAGTATGAATGGCACGGAGAACTGATAACTTGGAGATACCTAGTCCATCTAGGAATAGATGGCACCGGTAGCGAGGAATCTCAATGTACAGCACACCATCAGTTGAAGAGGCAATGCTTGACTTCTGAGGGTACCTCTTTGAATGTCAGCACTCACAATGGTACATACATCCAGGATGAGAGATCTCGACAGTCGATATCGAAGCTCATCACCACTATAGTTTAAGAGGATTAAGGCGATCACGAAAAACGCGCTCCCTTAGCAATAGGAAGGGGAGGGTGTGGCGGCGGCTGCGAGGGGGGGGAGAGAGGTGACGGACGCGGATGTATACCTAGTCCATCTCCCAACACGGAATAGATGGCACCGGTAGCGAGGAATCTCAATGTACAGCACACCATTAGTTGAAGAGGCAATGCTTGACTTCTGAAGGTACCTCTTTGAATGTCAGCACTCACTATGGTACATATATCCAGGATGAGAGATCTCGACAGTCGATATCGATGTCGTAGCTCATCATCACTATAGTTTTCAAGAGGATTAAGGAGATCACGAAAAACGCGCTCCCTTCTTAGCAATTTTCTCATGCGAAAACTTTCCCGTGCTGCCATGTCTCATGCGAATGGTAGAAGAAAGTGTGTGGGACAAATGTCCCTTCGAGAAACAAACTTTTCTTAAACGTAAGAAAAGATTTAGCATATAAAAAGTTTAGAACTTTCGAGAAACCGCTTTTGAGAAGGAAATAATAAAAAGATTAGAAATAGCCGTGTTTTAGCACGTTTTAAGAAAAATAAAAGATTTAGCTTTAGAAAGAAGCTTCGAGAAACTGGCCAGTTGTCCAGAGATGAATAAAAGTCCAGAGGCAGTACATATGGATGTGCATAGGATGCCATCGCCATGGATCGATATATTCTCGTGCATTCTGAGCTTTATTCCAGCAGAATTTCCCTACATCGAACACTCAATTGTTACCATAATGTTGAATGAAGGTTTTATGGAATGGCGTTACGAGGATCCGCTCGTGGGATTAATTAATTAATTAATTTTTTCCTTATAATCTCCCATCTTAAGTCCCAAGTCGCAACCCAATTACTTCAATCAATATATAGATAGTGTGACATAAATGGACCAATGCATGGTTTCATTTAATTTCAACAATACGAACGAAACGATGTGTCAGTCCTTCTTTGGGCATCCATTGGACGTCCAGCAAAGGAACCTCCAAGGACAACTTCTTAGGGCCAATTGCATGAACGATGTCTTCCCGGTGTTTTTCTAAAGTCATCGGTTAACCGATGTCTAAGGCCAAAAATGGATTGCATGAACGCTATCTTCCTTTAACCAGTCTAACCGATGTCTAAGAGAAGCTGAAAAAGGTGTTGCTTCCAGACAAGGGATGGGGCATGTTTTGCCGATATTTATGCCAGCGTTCTTGTACCATCTCGATGAGTATAGCGCTGCAGTGTACTGGTGAAGCACAATGGATGTTTATGGATCCGCTCGATAACGGCGATGTGCTCTCGTCGTCGCATGGGAGGAATAAACATAGGTTCTGGGCTTAATCCCTTTGAAGAATATATCGATTAGAACTTCCGCGTGAAATACCAATTTGGAAAGGGATCAGGGTATGATGTCGACCTGCTTCGCGCTGAACTCGAATGGAACGTAGATCGTGGAAAGGATCCCTTAACTTTACATCGACAAATGCAAAGTTAAGGCAAGTACATTGACAGAGCAATCACTGTTCGTGTGCAATGAATCGTGACTTGTTCAAGTACCCATCCCCTGAGCAATTAATTAATATGACTCGAAAGTAAAGAGAGTATCGTGAAAGCCTTTCGATTTGCATGTTGTGCTGACCCTTCGATTTTATGTGGCGTCGATTCCTAGAAATGGAATGGCGCAAGCCATTGCCCATTTACATCGCTCATTACATTCCTAGGAGGAAAAACGGAGTAGTTGTACGAAGATAATTATTTGATATTGTCAGATTTCCAGGAGTGATCGGTGTCATCGACAACTGTCGTACTCGAATAGAATGCCCAGACAACTTTAATCAATCGCAAATGCTTCTATTTCATCGATGTCCAAGCAGTGCGCGATGCGGAAGGGATTATTACTGAATTAGTCATCACGTGACCAGGATCCACACACAATTCTCGAATACACTCATTTTGCAATTGTACACAAGTGATACTCCTATTTTTCACATTTCCCACTTCTCCGTGTGTCCAAAACGAGTCGTTGGCTTTACCTCTGATATATCGAAATACAGAGTAAGGTCAGAGGAGAACTCACCAGTTTCCAGGCATGATTATTTGTTGTGTAAGGAAAGCGCATTCTGTCTCTCTCTATCGTGAGATTCTCCTTTACAAGCTCTGCGAGATGTACTTAATAGTCTGAGGAAAGGCTCTCCTTTTTCACTTGATTCGCTCGTTTTTTGTGGAGTCCGTAGTGTATTACGCGACAACCGAGGAGTCAGAACGTGCTATATGTACCATGAGGGGTGTTTAGCCATCGTCTAACCATCGGCTATGAAAAAATGGCTTAGGGATCGTTCACGCAATCGAAAGTAGATAGCGGTTAACCGATGTTTTCGTAGACAATGTTTAAACAATGACTATCGATAATCAATGTCTAAAATAAACATAGTTCATGCAATCGGCCCATAGTGTCTGTCACAGTCCTGATTTAAAAAAATAACCGAACGGGTCTACTGAGGAACGGAGCAAGATTAACGGTTGTGGTCATGAGTGCGAACAGAACACGTTGGGTCCTGATCACCCGTTACATTTAGGTTTCACTGTTCGAAATCAATTTTCGGAGCAATCGATAATAACTATACTTTTTCCAATAAACATGGTGCTAACGATAAAGCAGCTTTGGGAAATTGTATTCCTCTGTACCCATAAGCTTGGTCGCAAGCTTTCTTTGGCTGTGGCTGCAAAACACGTTGACTGCTCGAAGTCGACGGCGCATCACTAGGCCGAAACGTTCAAAAAGACCAACGGCGTGGCGGATGAATTGGGAAGGGGAAGAAAACGGAAGACCACGGGAACGGAGGATGAACTGATCATGCAAGAAAGTCAATCGATAAAGGAAACAAATATGGCTTCCTGCTATCATTATCACAGACTTTTGAATTTGCTTCCTATCCGCTTCCATGATTAGCCAGTCTCTGATGCGGGTGACGTTGTCCTTCCCAAAACTGACTTGCCCGCATGAGACACGGGCGACTCGTGTTTCGTTTTTGATTTCCCCTTATCATTCAATTATGCTTTCGTTTACTCATATTTTTAACTTTGTCCACTAGATGACATAAGGTGTGTGAATCAACATTTTTAGTTCAATTCATTGCAACAAAAAAAACTGGCAAGTGGTTCCCTATATGGGAGCTTGCAAGGTTTTACCTTCTATTCTTACTTTTCTCAATCTCATTTCAGATCTTGGCTGTAGGAACAACCTTCATTACAACAGTAATCAATGTATGGCAATTGTAAGCAGCACTGGAGAATTCACTGTGATGTCGTCTAGTTGGGAAAATTTTGAGGAGTGCAGTACTCACAAAGGAATATTAGTATATGATGATACTTATGCATATCAATTACCCCTGAAAGAGGAAACATAAGAAAAAATGAATGCAGAGATTTTGGAATGGTTTTTATTGTTATATTTGCTAATACTTGTAACATGAGATATTAATTTTAATAAGAAAATGTCAATTTTGACAATTTTAACAATAGCCCACATTCTGTTCTGTATGGTGGACTGACAGGCCACATTCTGTCCACCATGCAGAATAGAGTGTGGCATAATGCACTGTACCCTTAAGGCGAATCCTTGGGAAAATGGCAACCAAATCAGTGAAAATTCTTTCCTAGGGATGAGGCTGCAAAAACATTTATGATATTTGTAGGTATTTAGATTGCAAGACAATGGTTCTCATTAACACATTTACTGTCTTGTGCATGCTTTTCTTAGTATAAGAAAAGCAAGCACAAGACTCTTCATATATCACAGATTAGTATCTTGCAATCTAAAGATCACCACTAATGATTTTGCAGTCTCATCCCTTGAAAAGAAAGGAAAGAAGAAATATTCCTTTAAGAGTACTGTAATCCTCAATATTTGCCAAACTAGACATCGCATAGCGAAAATCTGCAGGGCTGGTTACATTTGCCATACCTAAAAAAGCTCACATTCATACTAAGACACCAAAACACTGAAAAAATATCCAAAGAAACTCAAGATGTTTATAAGATAAAATTAGCTTAACACTAAGTAGCAGAATCACAGTGCTAAATTATTCAATTTTTTTGGATATCACCTCCTCCCCTCTTTCAGACCTTGATATGACAAGGCGTATTCCAAAAGTTCTCAGTCCAAGGCATCTTTAGTTGCAATACACTGTCTTTCCTGTTCACAAGTGCTAACAGTCACTGAAAGCTGACTGGCCAAGTTAAATCATATTTGGTGATGCCAAACAACATATGTGGATCCTTGGTTGTGCTACCATAGATACTTTGGTAGAAGTATAAAAAATATCAGACATGACAGGATACAAAATTTTTAGGTAGAGGTTCTTGTGATGCATAGGTGTACAACCTAGTATCTTGGAGTCTTGTGCTCTAAGGCTCCAGTGAATGCTGAATCCTGCAAGGGCAATGATCAATTTTCTCACCCTGGAGAGAGCAACCTCACTCCAAATCTTCAAGGGGCTAGGGTTGCAGAGCATCTAACTGGCTAGCTTTATTTTTTTTTTGGAGTGAGGTAAAACAACTATAAGTGAGAACATAATAAAATAATTCACAAAAATAACTCTTACCTTTATGTGAAGACGAGAATCTGTCTCATACTTCATGTCCATCTGCAGAAGATCAATGTCTTCAGGGTAGCCTGACTGAGTTTTCCTCATCAGGAAAGCAGTCAATCCAAATGATGTTTCCGAAAGATTCACATATTTATATCCATCATACAAGGCAGGGTAGTAGCAAAATGGTACATTGAGGGGGGCACCATTAGATCCATGATGACTGAATCTAGGAAGCCAGCAGCACCCTCTCCCTTCACACAATTCTTGATTGCCACCATTTTGTGGATAACAGTCAAATTTCCTCTCATCAGGTATGCTTTGACATTGTTCCGGCACTGGCTTAGAAGGATGTACCAGTGCTTTTGGCTTCATCACCCTGAAAAAAGCCTCAAGTTTCTCACTATCATTACTGACTTTTGGCCTTATTGCAACTTTTGGCCTCTGAGTAAAATTCCTTGATATGGACTCATATTTCCTTTCAAACTTCACATTCAAAGGAAAATTATCAATCACAGCAACTGACTGATCAGTCTTCATGAGGAAGACAATGATGAGGGGCACAAATATCATGATGGCCAAGGAAATGGCTCCAATGAGAAAGATCCACAATTTGAACTGAGAAAACTCTGACTTGATGCGAGACACTATTGCAACACGGGCACCAGCTTTTGCACTGCGACTGCTTTGCACAGAGGTGTTGAGGAATGGATTAGTTGGCATAGCCTCACAATTGTTGCAGTCTGATGAGTTGCAGTCTTGAGACTCACACAGAGTGCACACTGACAATGGAGTATCACCTGAAGAATCACTGCACCTTCCAGGAGAGTCTGCAGACTCTGGATCTGTTGATCTCCTATTTTCCATCTCATGGATATCTGCAAAAATCTAATACACTTTTCCCTTTGACTTCAAAATACGTTCTAAGCAGGCTTACCTTTAAGAAAAAAAAAGTATTGCAGTATGGATGAGGTCTGGACCATCGTGCATTGACCAGGCTTGGGCTCACGCAACTCGACAATCCACAAACTCGGTTGGACTATGTAAGCTCAGGCCTATGATAGGTCTAAGAATGCAATCCGGATTCGTTGCATTACTATAGCACTAACATTAAACCTAGGCAAGGCTGACTTCAGGCCGAGGCCCCTAACTCCAGGCTTTGTAGGAGCGGGTCAGAAGGGAGAGAAGAATGGAAAGAAAAGCAAAGAGAGCCTGGTGCAAGCCCAACCCACAAGACGGCAGGTGTTCAGAAACTGAAGCAGCAGCCCTTCGAACTGGTTCCCTCCCTACGATGCGAGGGCCCGGCTGGGAGAGGGACATGTGCTGTGTGCGAGGGACCGTGGCAGGCTCGTGCACAATGATCAGGAATTCATTCACAACATTTTCGCGATCTTATGGTTGTATTCGTATGCGTCCATCAAAACGTCAGTGACACGACCAATACCAGGAAAAGAAAAGACAGCCCATGAGTTCTATGGGTTTCTAGCAAAAATCCTCTTCAGAAGGAAATTCGTTATCCCCATAATCCTCCATGGTATGCCGATCGCATAATAACCAGGAGCAGATGTTCCTGGGAAGCTGATGATAGGGATGAGCCCCATGGCAACGTTTCTGTCCCCCTCTCCTCTATTCATCTGGACTGGTCCTGTTTCAATGCAGACGGGGAGGGAATTCTTTTCACGTGGCGATAACTGGGAATGCGTCCCCTTTCTTGATGGACACACCATAGGACCCCCTCATCTGCTTTCCCTTTCCTTGCTTTATGACTCCACGTTGGGTTCTCATGCTCCCGTAACCGAAATCCTCCATCCCTTCATGCTGTTCCGGGTTCTTTACTTTCATCTTCTCGCTGTTTCATTCCTCCACTCTATATTTCATTTCACCATGTTCCTCACCAAATTTCCTATTCCATCCTATTGTAGACTCCATATCTCTTCATGTATGCGTTATGCGTGATTCGCGCAATTGCTTATTGGGTGCATTACGCAACGTTTTTGCCTATTTAATGAAATAAGCAACCATCGTGCTCATTGCATGGAATGCGCAATGTTGTTGCTACGTGCATGCAATGGGCGATCAGATGCTGCGCATTGCACGCTTTGAGCAAACGTCGTTATTCCGTTTCATTAAAAAACATATGAACATTTTTTTGGAAATAATGCTAACTTCTCATATTAATGGTAACCACAGCACTCCTGGAGAGCCATTGTACTGCCATCGAGAAGCACATCAGACAAAACTTAAACAGACTGAGGAATTGAACAGGAAAACTCTTAAGACCGCCGCATACGATCCGATTTCCCGCCGGACAGGAAATCATTGGTCGGAATAGGATGGGATGGGATCGTGGCACATGCGCGCAGTTCGACGATGATCCTTGAGCCTCCGATCAGTCAGGCACTGAGAACCGATCAGAAATTGCGGAAGTGCCTTATCTTGGCCGCCTGCAGTCATGAAGGAGGAAGACGATGATAAGCTTTCCTTCCGGGGAAGAATCGTACAGAACGCCGAACTGGCGAAGACCTACGCCGTTTCCGGTCGAATTCGGTAGTTTTTTGTTTCACTCGATTTCAACATGTTTTTAGTCAACTACGAAGTTGAAGAAATGGATGAAGGTAGTAATTAGGAATGAGGTCAGCCTCCTGCCTCAGAAAGGTCGTAGTCGAGCGAACATTAAAATTGATTCAAACATCGTAATATAGAAGTCGATGCCGGTCGGTAGTTTCGAGGAAACTAATGGCATTGCAATTGACTGGCTCTTGAGCAGCCGCTTCTCCGTGACAAGGCATGTTTTGAACGGTCCCCCAACATACGACAACGGATGAAGCGTCGGATCCAGTCGCACACTCCGATATTCAGTAGACGCGTCGGACGGCCGGCGATGGGAAAGTACAGGAAATGCACGGGAACGCCTGATTCCGGACGGAGGCCCGTCGTATGCCACCGCACACGACCTGATTTTATTTGGAAATTGGATCGTATTTGACGACCTTAAGCCTGGGCAAGCGGGAATAACTGGCTCCACGGGAGTGAAATGGGAACCTCTTGTTGATTTGAAAACGGTCCTGCTTGAAACTCCACTTACTTGTAGAGTGAAAAAGCAAGGAGAATGCGCGCAATGGGCAATGTTTTGGCTGATTTTATGAACCTACGCAATTAGGGTAAAACCACCTAAGTTTGGACACTATCACGTACTATCATCGTAACAAAACCAAGCATTGGTGAGCTCTCCCTCAGAAACAGTTCTTCCCAGCTTAGAACCCATACAAAACGTTACCCCCTCGTTCGTCGGAATTTCACCGCTTTTTCCCCTAATCCTTACCTGAAGGGTCTTCTGACAGGTTGAGAGACGGGGGAAAACCTTTTTTTTTTTTTTACCTCAGTTTCACCGTTCGAATTTTTCCTCAGGGAGAAATTTTTTGTAAGGGAAGAGCTGTTCCTGAGGGTGACTTCATAAATGCCTTGTTTTAAAACAATTAATTTTTTAATGTCCGAATGTAGACGGTTTTACCCTATGCGATTTTTTCGGCAAAAAGTTGCGCGATGCGTGGGAATGAGCAGTTGCGTGAATCACGCATGACATGTTCAGGGTGTCCAGAAATAATCTATGCCATTTGCAAGACATATTACAGAGTGAGCATAAGATCATACATAATATCTCATACAAAGACTTTTGGTTCGCGAATATCGCTTTTTGAGACACAGAAGCGTCAGATTTCGAAAATAGAAATTATGGCTGCAAAAAAATTCACCAAGGATTTATTAAACTTCAAAACAAACTCCCTTTGGCCTTCACACAGCCTGACTTTCTTCCTCGCAAGCTATCCCTAGTAGCATATAACATTGAAACAATATTGATTCAATATTGATCCGGACATTCCATCCGGACGTTGAACCAACGTTGAATCAATGTTGATACAATGTTATATGCTACTAGGGATGGATTGCAGCAAGAACCTCATCCATCGGGAGATTACTCCAAGCTTTCACCAGGAAGCGCTGTAGAGACTCCACATTTGAATGATTCCTAATGCAGGCCATCTGCTCCAACTTGGACCAAACATAGTAGTCCAGCGGCTTGAGATCTGGTGAGGATGCGGGCCATTCATTAGTGGATATGAAACCCTGCACCAGTTTTGAGTCATGCAGGCCTTGTGGGCAGGAGCTGAATCCTGCTTGAACCACACCGTTTCTCGGTTTTGAACAAATCATGGATCAGGGGGCGCACATGAGGCTCAAGAATGTATGCCGCATTGTTCTCCTTTCGAATTTTGGCCCCTTGATCCAAAAAAAAAAAAACAAAACAAAACAAAACAGGGAAGCCTTGCCCATAGCGACACTCCAATCCAAGCCATCGCCGACACCGGGCGATGTGACCTCTGCATCTTATTCGCACCCTCAGGCAATTACTTGACACGTTTTCCATAGACCCTGTTATTTTGGGTGTTCCACTTCGCTTCCACATTGAACAGCTTCTCATCGGAGAATAGAATGCGATCCATTTTGTCAGGCGTGAACCGTTGAAGCCGAGTCCGACATTTCTGATTTCTGCCAAGTTTGGTCCGTCGGTTGAGAATTTAACTCTTTCGTACCTTCAAAGGTTTCAACCCAAGATCCTCATTTAACACTTGCCGTATGGTTTCGTGCAGGGTATCCACCTCGATCGGCAATTTTCGGTCTGAACGCCGAGGATTCCGCCTGAACCGCGCCTACACATTTTGACAAGCTTCGGCGTGCGAATAGAACGTGTTCGGCCAGTATGATTCTCGTCATTCATATCTCCAGTCTCGTGGTAACGCCTGAGAGTACGATAAACAAAATCTCGCTTGTAGCCACTGGACTTGAGTTGCCGAAAGACGCTCCCTGGGCTTTGCCCAATCTGGAACAACTCGATCACAGCAATACGCTTCAACTTCAAGGGGTCCATAACGCGAAACGTAAAACAGCACTATATTGAAATTTCGTCCACGCATATATACAGTTTTGTCGGAACGAACGGGCCAATACCAAAAGGGAGGACTTTCATGAACTCTTTTGGCCTATATTGAAATGTGTATGAGATATTATGGCTCACCCTGTACCCTGGGGACACATAAACAAAAGGCGAATTTCACGGGAGTTGAGAAGGCACAGGACGTTTTTTAGTGCGAAGAACCACGTTCTCCTCCAAAAGTGAAACGAACAGGTCGTTGAAACTAGGTGTCATTGTCATCGGAAATGTATCGATTTCCCTTTTTCCTGTTGTCCTTGTTTCAACGATCTGGTTATGCCAAGCAAAAATGGATAGTCTTGGCGGGGTTCCTTCCGTACTTAGTACGTAAACGACGCTTCACTCTTGGAGGAGAACGTGGTTCTTCAAACCAAAAAACGCACTGCGCCTTCTCAGCTCCCGTGAAATTCGTCTTTTTGTTTATGTGACCCCTGCGCCACTAGCGGAACGAATGTGAACTTGGTATCCATGAGGCACAAAAGTGTTTCTGCTTAATTTGGCTATTGTCTCTTTGATTATTCGTTTAGAAGTGATACGACATGCAAATGTCACAGATAAATTGTGGACACCCTGTAAACATGTATATACGATCTTGAGTGACCATGAACCTAGGTGATATACAGCGGATTATAAAAAGCGTCAAATAGGACGTTATTTTCTGCGCCACTCGATATATACAGTAGATGATTGTGAGATTGACTGACGCTAATTCTAACCACGTTCTAGATATGGTAGAAACCTGAAACTTGGTACACAAGTAGCTGTTGGGATGTTGGGTTCAGGAAAAGCCCTACTTTTAAGGTACATCACTTGAGGGCACAATTTTTTGGCTGGAGGTTTTTGTGACAATTTCACTCCAGCAAAACGGGCAAATATAGAAAGCTGATATATAGGAAGATATATATACCTATGGACATCCTATTTGTTAAATATAGAAAGCTACATACCTGTAGATCAGACTGATCATTGAGTATTGTTCTACAATGTAGGTTTCTAAGATGAACTTAGAGGCATTGGAGAGCTTTTAAGGGGAGTTTAGGGGGCTTTCACACCAGGAATTACCTTTTCCTTACTTCTTTAAAAGGTTCTTCAAGAGAGACTTGTTGGAGATAATTCAATTGTAAGTAGGTTTGTAATATGGATTAGAGAAAGTTTTTCTATACACATCTTCCGCTTTCAGAAGGCATTCCGTAACATATATAAACTTAGAGCAAAGAAAAAGCTGAGACAGGTTTATTTTCACTCCAGGAATCATCGGAGAACTGAACTGATTGCAGACGTTTCAAGAGCTACAATAATTTTCAGTTTTAGCAAAGAGCAAGCTAAGCATTTATGAAAAGGGCTTACCTTGGGTGACAAATGCGCAAATATCTAACTTCCTGCAGTAACATTTGTCAGAAAAAAATTTCTGGAAAAAAGTTTTGAAAGCAAAGATCTATCTACCGAGGGTAGATAGTGACGACTAATCTCAAAATTTCCGTTCGTCTCTTTTGTCTTTTCCTTATTCATCATTTGGATTAGTGAACAACATGCTTGTCGATGAATTTGATTTCTAGTGGGTAGAGGTAATCATGTTGTTTTGTGAGCCGTACATGATGCACACACTTTGGGCCACGGGCCTCTGTGTTCGAAAATCAATCAATAAAAACAAATATGGATATCGAAATATAATGACATCCCTTTTTATGTGCCAATGAGTAATATCGGCGAGGAGTCGAAAAAGGATTTGTTCTTTTGAAAATTTAATATGCCCAATATAAATTGGTCGGTGTCACGAAGCGGGTGGGAGAGGAAAAGATAGTTTCTGGATTGATCCAGGATGCTCTCAAATGTACAGCTCGTTCAAGAACCAACCAGAAATGTCACTTCATTATTCACCGACAGGAATCCGGAATCAATTGCGAATAGTCCAAAGATGGCCAGAATTCTAAACGATTTCTTTGCTTCTGTGCTCACGCGCGAATATGATGATGTTCCGAAGATGGCAAAGGTCACCTTGGTGTGCGTCGAGGATAACGTCATCCAAGAGGAAGGGACCACAAGAAGGGAGGCTGGAGCCAGTCCCAGGAAACCGGTCTCGATGGGATACTAGTTTGTGTCATCGAGGAACTCGTCCGGGAAGTATCGAATGCCGCTAGGAATCAGATGCGAGAGCAGCTGTTAGCGGAGGAAGTGCCTCGGGATGGGAAAGCAACAAACACCGTACCGGGACCGAAACCGAAAGGGAAACTGGAGTCATACAGAAAATTACAGGCCAGTGAGTCTCACGAGCATTCCGGGGAATGATCATGGAGAGCATTCTTAGAGACTATTTCTTAGAATTCCTCGAACTTACTCAATTCACCGGAATTCCTCAAACTCGTCATCCAAAAATCTCAGCACGGCTTAAGGAGACAACGAAATCGACTCATTCATAACAAGTCACTCGAATTTTACAATTGGGTGACGTACGCGATGGATAAAAAGAATTCCGAGGTCATCATTTACTTAGACTTAGTAGAATTCGTTTTCGATACACAAGTGGTTTCGAGCTAAATTGGAAATCCAAGGGATTCGAGGCAGGGTGAGTAGCTGGATGTGTAATTGATCAGTGGGTAGAGAGCAGAGAGCCTTTGCACCTCGTGAAAGAAGTGTCAGCGGAAGTAGGACGAGTGAGCAGAGACTCCCTCGGCACATTCTGCAATATTTGTGGTTTACATAAACGATTTGACTCAAGATCTGGCGAGTGAAATCGGGAAATTTCCCTACGACCCGAAAATGCACGGTGAGACAAAAAGAAAAGGTAAGCCAATAAGAAACCAATGCTACAGAAAAAACCCATTAGAAATAAATTAATGCGGTTTCGAGCAATAGACAGAGATACGTATTCTGTTCATACGTCGTACCTATCAATTTTCGACTCGGTGGAGTGGGTGAAATGCGGTGTTCTCGATGACTACCACCAATTCCAGCACAAGCAAGGAGTTCACGTGGCCATTCATCAATTGCAATACCAAATCTTAAAGAATTTTCCAGAAGAAAGAAGAGATTTCAATTTATTGACAATAACTTTACTCACACAAATTCCCACAAGCTTAACCCGCATTGGTACACAATGGCAGAAAATCCAAAAACGAGAACCATCCTCATAGAGTTGGAATTTTATCTGAACTCTACAATTTAGAGATGATAGTGGTCATGCAATATACATAAGAAAAATCTTCATGGCTTGCGAAGAAAAACCTATCCAAACCTGAGGTACAGATTTGTTGGTCATAAGTTATATTTAACAGTTAAAATATTTATTTATTTATTTTATGGCTGCGTGCCCTCGGAAACTACCCCAAGACTCTGACCCCATGGCAAAAATTTGCGCCGTAGACCGAGGCTAGGAGTCACTCCGAAGAGCATCAGCATATGGCATTCTTAGAATATTATGCTAATTCAGTTGAAACTTAAAATCTACGAATTAATAACTCAAGCATGCGATTTCGCGCCGCGATGCATTAGGGGATAAAAAGCTCAGAAAGCAGGCAAAAAATCGTTATAAAGGTTGTCGACAAAATAATACGTGTTCAGCACTTCATCGCTCAGTAATAAGATGTTGAACTACTACTAGCACTATTGTAAACGGTACTGTACCGAGAATTTTCGCAAGGGAGCAACAACAGAACAACAACGTTGTGTCAACATTGACTAAAGGCTGAAATGTTGACACGCGGTTGGAGCTGACAAATCAACGAAGAATCAAGAGCAATGAAATACCAACTATTCGTAATTAACCGCATTTTTCAACATTTTCATATGGAGATTAATTGGGTTAACGAAGTCGTTTGGAGGCAATGAAATGCAAATTCGTTTTTCACATTTACCTTCACCATAATTTCACTGGTAGTTTAACGTGGAGTTATCCCCGTCATATCAACGACAAATATCAGCATTGCGGATATGTTGAATCATGAACACGTTCTTAACAGAAAATGGGTTCTACCAACCGACGCGAGATGGCGCCTAACCGCCGATTTAGCGATTCTCACCCTGTCACCAGAATGAATTCCCTGTATTTTTCATACTGTACCCGATCTTTCCCACGAACGACTTAGTGGAAGGCTTTGGAATTCCTGGATAGACCCTTTTAAAGAAGTGACCCGGCGGAAGGAGATTGAAAGTACTTCTGGCTCGGGTTCGAAGAAACATGCCGAAAACTTCCGACTTCACAATAAGTGCGCTGGTCCGGGCTCTCATATCTCTTTCAGAGACGAAAGAGCGTGTTGGTCGACCTGCGAGAGTGCGAGACTCTTCTCCTCTGAGACAACTCTGAGGATCATGTCAGTCCCGTAACACCTCTGCTGAACAGAACCAAATGTCATTCAAGATCTCGGGTGACATGCACCAGATTCGTTTTAATTTAAATTGATTCGTTTTCATTATGGGCGTCTATGGAAATAAGTTTATCTCTGTTAAACTGATTCCCATAGGGGACCACCGTGAGATCAATTAGTTTAGCTTAAACGGATCCGGTGCATGTCACCCCTCATCTAGGATTCTGATTCAATTATGGAAGATTAGCCCCATATTGACTCAACCGCGGAATGCTAATACGGGCTTGAATACTTCCAAGCTCTGAGATATAGAACAGAAGACTCTTACAATATGAGATCAACAATTTTATCAGCGCATCTCCGGTATCAGGAAAAGAAGGCAATTTCAGACCTTGACAATTCAATGCTGATACAACGTAACACGTGGGCGTATTTTCAATGTTGAACTAGGTTTCATTTTAACACGGCTGCAATATAGAATCAACCTTTCACACAACGTTGAGGCAACATTGCTGTGTTGATAATCCTCTCTCAACGTTGACTTGACGTTGTGGTACCAAATGGGGGAGGACTTCAGAATAAAGACAGCTGATTGACGAGCAAAGGGGGGGGGGGGGGGGGGGGAAGGATTTGCCG